TGTTAGTAAAAATAAGACTGATTAAAGAAGGTGGTTTTTAGACTCTTGGAGATCCAACTCAGTAGAGCCAGGGCCCTTCCTCCCCCTGGAAGCTGGGAGGAAGGTGCAGATGTGTCTCTTTTTGGCTCAGGCAGTAGTTGCCCTGCTTTCCTGGCAATGCAGCTGTGCAGACGTTTGCCCCAGTCTCTCTGGTTGACTGGTTGAGCACCACAATGGCTTACCTTTCACCTTGACATTGAAAATGGAAGATAGGCTTTTTACTGTGGTCCATATGCTTTCCTCCCCCTGGAAGCTGGGAGGAAGGTGCAGATGTGTCTCTTTTTGGCTCAGGCAGTAGTTGCCCTGCTTTCCTGGCAATGCAGCTGTGCAGACGTTTGCCCCAGTCTCTCTGGTTGACTGGTTGAGCACCACAATGGCTTACCTTTCACCTTGACATTGAAAATGGAAGATAGGCTTTTTACTGTGGTCCATATGCTGTGAGGTTGGGAAGGACCATCTTTTAATTAGTTTAAGCAGCAATGTTATTTTCCTGAACTAAGCATTAGAAGTGGGTTCAGTCTAGAGGGAGGGTTTTTATCTGGTGTCATCAGACTAGGTCTCACAAGGTGATGCAATGCAGTGAGTGTCTGGAATCAGAGGGCCTATGTTTCATGTCCCGACTTGCCACTCATTATCTATGTGGACTTCCCTTGTGTATGAAATGGGCAGTGTGTCAGGTACTTTAAAAAAAATTTTTTTGTAGAGCTTTTGTACATTTCATACAACAGTTCTTAATCAGGTACTCTCATTGCTATAATGAAACCCTCTGACCAAAAGCAACTTAAGAAAGTTTATTGTGGCTTACAGTTCCAGAAGGCTAGAGTCCATCATGGCAGGGAAGGCATGACAGCTGGTGGGTGGAGTGGGAAGCCTGACTGGTCACACTTCCATCCTCAAGCAGAAAGCAGAGAAAAGGAATGAGAAGTGGGGAGAGGCTATCAACTCTCAAAACCCACCCCCAGTGATGTACTTCCTCCAGCAAGCCTGCACCTCCTAAAGGTTCTGTAATATCCCAAGCAGTCCCACCAACTGGGGACCAAGTGTTCAAACACCTGAGCCTATGGGGGACATTTCTCACTCAAACCATTACAGAGAGTATCAGAGCTACCCCTCATGAAGTTATGATGCATGTAAGTCACTCAACATTCTATTTTCATTGCTGTTATAATTAAAATGACAGCTTGAGCTGTCTGGTACAATGGAAAGTGTGTGGATTGTGATAGCAGACTGGTCTGACCTGAGTCACAGCCTCATTCCTGTTGGTGAGATACCACTCAGCCTTGGCTAAAAGCACTCATATGTTTTCAACTGCATCTTCTTATGCATAGAATGAAAGCCCTGTTAATATACTTTACTTTTTTGGTAAAGATCCATAAATACAAATAGAGTAAGTATATGTAAGGATGTATGAGGAACATGAATTTTGTGTTCACTTTTCAAACATTCTTGGAATGACAGACATTGCTGGACAGCAAAGGCAATGGCCCCTTTTGGGAACAGAAGTTGGATGGTTTAGATTGGACAGCCCAAGACATCATGGTGTTTCTGGCCAAGAACCCAGAGGATGTCCAGTCTCTGAATGGCTCTGTGTATACATGGAGAGAAGCTTTCAATGAGACCAACCAAGCAATCCAGACGATATCTCGCTTCATGGAGGTGAGGATCTTCTGTGTGCATCATGTAGGAAAGGTTGGGGACTTTCTTTATTGAGATGTTACAATAAGGTTAAAGATTGAAAGAGAGCTTAGAGTTCATGTAAAGTATTGCAGTCATATCCCCCAGGCTGAGTGTACAAAATAAATTAGTTGAATGAATGAATGAATAAACTTAATCCTAGCATTATTTTAATTTGACTCCAGTGTTTCTATCCATTATCTTCTGTTATCTTCTATGTTTTCCTATGTTTTGATTTGCTAAACTCTAATAGTAATAAAAGAGTCCCTTAAAAAGCATTATTTATTAAATTTACCTGAAATCTAATTCAGGACAGATAAAACCTGAAAACCTTTAATCTTAAAATTTATGATAAGGAATAGAGATGCTTCGAATGTTTTTTGTTTGTTTGGTTTGGTTTGATTATTTAGTTGATTCGTTTCTATGATTCAACATTTCTAAGAACCAGAGAGGGAAAAAATAAGACATGATCAGTTTCTGCCTATTTTCCTTCACAAAAATTTATATAAGTAAACTTTCAGTATTTCTCTTAAACCCCAGTTAAAAACTGAAATGATCCATTCTTGGTTGAAACCTGTTTTAGAGAGGATTGAGCAGTAAAGGTTGAGAGTCCAAGGGCTAGTTCTTGTCTCTGAGGAGAGGCTGGGTCCTGCCGCCAGTGTCCTCACAAGGCTGTGCTTCCTTCTGCCAGTGTGTCAACCTCAACAAGCTGGAGCCCATTCCAACAGAAGTCCGACTCATCAACAAGTCCATGGAGCTGCTGGATGAGAGAAAGTTCTGGGCTGGTATTGTGTTCACGGGACTCACTCCCGACAGCACTGAGCTGCCACATCACGTTAAGTACAAGATCCGAATGGACATTGACAATGTAGAGCGGACAAATAAGATCAAGGATGGGTAAGTTGACTCCCATCCCACCAGCCCAGTCTTGGAGAAGTCAAGAGCATAATGACTTTTATGATGGATGGTACTTTGATTAATGATTTGGGAGAAATTCAAGAATAAAAATAATCAGAATTTGGTAAAAATTCTTTGCTGGGGACTACTGTTCACAGGCCATAACATATTAGTCATTTCTGACTCAGTATTCCTGTTCAAGGGTTAACCCAGAGCAATTAAGTCAGCAGAAATAAAGAAAGGAAAATCCATCAGGAGTCTGTATGCTAGCCTTCCCCATTTTTATAAAAAGGAGTAAACAACCAATAAAAGAAAGTGGATAAGTAAACTTTAGCATGTTCATTTGATGCAATGTCAGGTCACCAATGGAGAAGAAATATACCAATGAGAGGTATGTTCATTGTGATTGTTTCTATTCAAAAATCTATGCATATGTTGACTAAGATAAGAATGCAAAACTATATATAGGAAGAGTGACGGGAAGCATGATGGAATTGTGCGTAGTTGGGTTTTTCCATGTGTGGTTGTAGGAAGGTTTCATCACCTTGCATTTGGTTTTAGGTATTGGGATCCTGGTCCCCGGGCTGACCCCTTCGAGGACATGCGCTATGTCTGGGGGGGCTTTGCCTACTTGCAGGATGTGGTGGAGCAGGCAATCATCAGAGTGCTGACGGGAACTGAGAAGAAAACGGGTGTCTACATGCAGCAGATGCCCTACCCTTGCTATGTTGATGACATGTGAGTTATCAGCAAGTCATCATTTTATTAAATAACCAGCTCCAGGAGGAGTGTGAGTGTGTGTGCGCATGTGTGTGCACATGTGTGTATGTGTGTGTGCGTGTATGTGCATGTGTGTGCATATGTGTACGTGTGAGTATGCATGTATGTGTGTGTGCACATGTGTGTATGTGTGTGTATGTGTTAGGTGGTGGGGGAGTTGAAAATAACGCCAGCGGTAGGTGGTGAGCTTGTCAACATTGCAGACAGACACATACACCTACTAGGAACCTTTCTTCCTTTCTAGTTCATGGTTACTATGACGTTTTTTTTTTGCATTCTACCCATTTTGCAGAAATTTGCCTCATCTGCAAGATTAAAATGTATTATGGTAAACACAATTAAGGGCAGCTATGCACACTCCTAAGTGCAGAAGCATCAATCTGGGCTTGTAAAAGCAGATTTCCTGTAACTTTGTCCACTTCCTCTCTCATGGGATTGTTGAACCACATTTTGAAACAATCCAAGTGAAATTGGAAACTTCTTTATCTTAGACTTTTTAGATAATCTTTTAGGACTGAATCACTAAGCTGCCATGTTCTTTCTATGAGAAATGTACCTTTGAATCTAATGACATCTTGTGAAGGAGAATAAGAGGCGTAGTTATCCCAAGAATTTCCAGTATATCATGTCTCTTCTCAATTCTAGACAGAGTGTGTGTGTGTGTGTGTGTGTGTGTCTGTGTGTTTGTGTGTGTGTGTGTGTGTGTGTGTGTGAAGGAAGGAGCAGCATTCTCCCCGTGTTTGCTCTCTGGCTTGCATTGAACAACTTGTTTTTAGATCTGGCCAACTCTAGCTATTCTGGTCAACAGGAATTCTGTTTATCAAATGATTAGCTAGAATTTTCTAACAGAATACATCTCTAAAGACCCATCAGCTGAACTGCTCTGGGAAGGATGTCTTCAGATGAGGGCACTGGAGCACACTGCTCATTGTCAGGTAGCCAGAGCACATAAGTGATGAAATGGGGACTTGAGCCTCAACTGGTTTACATGTGTCTTTCTTTTTTTTTTCCTGCCCTTTCCTGGTGTCTCCAGCTTCTTGCGGGTCATGAGCCGGTCCATGCCACTCTTCATGACACTGGCCTGGATATACTCTGTGGCTGTGATCATCAAGGGCATTGTATATGAGAAGGAGGCACGCCTGAAGGAGACCATGCGGATCATGGGCCTGGATAACGGCATCCTCTGGTTCAGCTGGTTCATCAGTAGCCTCATCCCTCTGCTTGTGAGCGCTGGCCTGCTGGTGGTCATCTTGAAGGTGAGGTGGCCTCATTTACTTCTCTTGCTAAAGAACTCTTGAACAGCCCAATATGAGGTAAAAGAAGAGAAGAAGAAAAAGTTGGGACTCTTGGAGTAGTGGGGGCAGCTTCCTATATCATATCTTATGCCCTCATTTCAGAATTGAGGAAAATATAATCCAGAGAGGGACAGGGACTTGCCCAGGGTCAACCCCTCTGGTTAGTAGCTAAGCAGGACTAGAATTCAGGGCTGTGCTTTCCAGATAAGCACAAATTTACCTACAGCATTCTGTCTAGTTAAGATATGATCTTCAGGGGTATTGATGGTGATTTTTTTTCAAGTTTCTAAAAGTAATAGTCAGAAGGCCATATGCTATTAGAGGTTAGATTGTCTGGAGGCAGAGGCTGAGGCAGTTTAACATATGGGTATTCATTAGTGATCAACAAACACCTGTGCAGGGAGGCAAAGGGTCATGGGAAGGGGGCTGAGCCCTGATGGAGAGACAACCCAGTGGAACACTCTGTACAACATATAGCTTGTCAAGAATTTCCCTCATTGGCTACATAAGTCCAAAGACTCATGATTCTCAAGGCCTAACACCCCCTTTTCCACCCCACTCTGTCATTAGATATGTGTCACTCAGAGAAAAGGAGGTACTCTAGGGCTGGCCAGGTGACTCTTGTATCTATGATACTAGAGATGCTAACATCTACCCTCTACCCATAGCCAAGTAAACTCTCCCTTAAACTAGAATCTGATCAGTGAAGATCTATTTGTACTATGTACAAATCTATCTTCAGTTTTCTTTCTCCAGAGTTATTTCATGTGAAGATGCATCATATAAAAATAAGTGTTTTCAGGGCTGGAGAGATGGTTCGGTGGTTAAGAGCACTGGCTGCTCTTGCAGAGGACCCGGGTTCAATTCCCAGCACCCGTATGGTAGCTAACAACCATTTGTAACTCCAGTTCCAGGGGATCTGATGTCCTCATTTGACTTCTGCAGGTGTTGCATGATACAGCTGCACTTACACACATGCAGGCAATACACTCATACACAAAAATAAAAATAATAAATAATAAGTGTTTTCGAGGAGATGGAAAGTGAGCAAAGGGAGAGGATCTCCATTCACTTTAGTACTAGCCATTTGTTATAAATGAGCACTTATGCCGAAGCACATCCTTCATGCTGTCTTGGTACGTTCCCCCTGTAATAGCCGACTGAATGCTCAAGGCAAGCAGTCTAAGGAAGGTTGGAGCTTCACTAAAGCACAGCAGAAGCAAGATTTGCATGCAGTTCCCTCATGTTGTAGTATCTGAGGTCAAGGGGCTAGGCCTTGGGACAAGGGTAGGGGTGTGGTGTGACAGCTGCCCAGGACAACAGGTGCTGACACTGACAGGACTTCTATATTTTGGTAGCCACAGTGACTAGAGATGAACTCACAATATCTGTGAGTTAGAGGAGTGTAAGAATAAAGAATATGTGCTTATCAGGGAGAAGTTAAAGTTGCCAGCTATTTGCCTTGGCTTTTAGAGAGAAAGCTGTGGGCACTGTCTCACACAGTTCTCTCTTGGAAGCAGTAGTGGTAGTCCTTTAGACAAGGGGAAGACTGTTGTCTTCACCTCCTGAAGAAACAGAGTGGAAATTTGTTCACTGAGACGGAGTAGAAAGTCCTGAACTCTGTTTTTGTCCTAATCTTGCTGTTACTTTTAATGTGTCATCTTTGGGAAGACATTTCTCCCGGGCTTCATGTCCTCACCAGGAAACTGATCAGTGTGGATCCTCTGCATGATCTGGGAAAGGCCTGTGAACGAACTTGGGCTTTTCCCCACAGATCACACAAGTGAGTGACCGGGCTTAGGGAGGCCGCACATTTAATGGGTCTCTTCCTCCCCAGTTAGGAAACCTGCTGCCCTATAGTGACCCCAGCGTGGTGTTCCTTTTCCTGTCTGTGTTCGCCGTGGTCACCATCTTGCAGTGCTTCCTCATCAGTACGTTCTTCTCCCGGGCCAACCTGGCAGCAGCCTGTGGGGGCATCATCTACTTCACGCTGTACCTGCCCTACGTCCTGTGCGTCGCCTGGCAGGACTATGTGGGCTTCTCCATCAAGATCTTTGCGGTGAGTAACTCTGGCTCTTCTACTGCGGTTGTAGCCACTGCCGCCCTGGGTGTTTAACTTCCCCTCCGTGTGTGAAGAAGTTCACGATGAGAATAGAAGGTGAAAGTCTCTTGCCAATAGGACTTGAACCTCAGTTCTAGATTCTAAACTCCTTGGAGGCAGGAATTGTGCCTTATAAGATAAAATTGCTTATCTTTTGGTTGAATTGGATTTTTGTCAGAGAACCTTGTTAGAGATAAATGGCATTAGAGAATGGTTTTAGTTTAGGCAGTAGATGCCATGTCTACTCTTTATCTCCCAGCTCTTTGTCCACATTAAACTTACTGAAAAGGCTGTGGATAGAACTGAGGGCTCTTTAGGTCTCAGGTCTTTCAGTCTTGACCTTTCCTTGTTCTCCTTGTGTCCAGTATGAACCAAACAGAACTGAGGTGCCCAATCCCTGACTTGAATATTTCCTTCCTTTGAAGGGTGTGAGAGTCCCAGTAATCTGTCCTTCGGGTCACTGATAAACTAAGCTTGTCAGGATGTTCCATTGGCCTCAGGTGGGGTCTCAGCCACCAGCAGCCCTGAAGGGGTTCCTCTCATCCTGAATGTTCACTGACTGAGCTGGAAGCCTAAAAAATCCTTGACAAGTGTTGGTATAGGGGAGGGCAGGAGACAAGGATTGTTGAGCCTTGGGAGCATAAAATTCTGGTTTACCTGCTCTCATGCATGCATTTCTGAGATGTGTATACATAATCAGTTGTTATAAACGGAATCATTTTATATGCTACAAGGAAACCCATCCCCTAAAGGGACTCTAGGCAAGTACTTATGTGTCCTGTAATTGATGTTTTTTGCAAATTCAGAATTCTTCAGGTGGAATTTACATTAGAAATAGAAGAAAGAGAGAGACAAGGACATTAGATCGGTGACTTTTGCCTCTTTCTCTCAGAGCCTGCTGTCTCCTGTGGCTTTTGGATTTGGCTGTGAGTACTTTGCCCTTTTTGAGGAGCAAGGCATCGGGGTGCAGTGGGACAACCTCTTTGAGAGCCCAGTGGAGGAAGATGGCTTCAATCTCACCACCGCAGTGTCCATGATGCTGTTTGATACCTTCCTCTATGGGGTGATGACATGGTACATCGAGGCCGTCTTTCCAGGTACCCTGAGTGTCCACACTGCCTTGGCCAACTGGCAGGGAAAAACCCTTTCAGTCTGCAAAGCCTCCTTTATGCTGTGATGTCTGCAGAACATGGGGATCCCCGGGAATGAGCTAGGACTTTAGACCTGTGAAAGATGAGGGATACAAGGAGAGGCATCTGAGCTGAAAGTACAACCATCACTGCCACCCTGACACCTATTTCTTGAGCATAGTGTTCCAGGCACTGTGCAAAGTTCTCATCTCACAAGGTTACCCTAGGTCTTTGCTATTATAAACAGTGGTTTTCAAATGAGAGGACTGACTGAGATCTTGCCTGAGGCCACACAGCTGTTAAGAGTTGGTGCTTGGAGATGAACTCAATTGGCTTGCATGTTAGGTTGGAGTCTAGTAGTCCTCTCAGTGCTGAACTGGTTCTATAGTTCTGTGTTCCCAGAGAGGGAAGCCCTAGGAGAGGTTCTGTTTCTTAAGTATGGGTTATGGATAGTACATTATTGGCTCTAAGAATTTGCATATCTTTTAAATCAAATTAATATACAATAAAAATACATTTTGATAGTTAAAAAATCTTTTTGACCAAGTTCAAGATGGATCCTCTTTGGGATAAATTTCCATACAAGATCAGATTTTGGGAGGGTCAGGTTGGATTCTGGTCCACTTTCTGAGGAAGTCTCTATGAAATGCTGTTGCTCTATCTGAACGTCCTCCACTGAATATGCAGTTTTGTATCATGTAGATCTAGATTCAGATTCTGAGTTCTTTACTCCCTGGGTGAATGACCTTGGGTAGGTTACTTACCCTTCACTCTACTCATCTGTAACATGAGAATGGTATTGCCATCAGGGGTTATTCTGCACAGAGAGGTGCAGAATGTATGACCTCATTCCGGGTTTCAGCGGAGGTCAGCTCACTCTTCCTCCACCTGCGTTCCAGTCTGTTCTTTCTCTGAGGGGCATGTCAAGGAGAAAGTGGGTCTGGCTGGAAAACCTTGGGAATACTGAGATGGTGCCAGCTAGGATCACACCTGTGCTTTGCTTTCAGGTCAGTATGGAATCCCCAGGCCCTGGTTCTTTCCTTGTACCAAGTCTTACTGGTTTGGTGAGGAGAGCAATGAGAAAAGCCACTCTGGTTCCAACCAGAAGGGAGTATCCAAAAGTAAGTGCTTCCCTAGACCTGGGGCTGCAGCCCCGACTGTTAGGGCAGAGGACACCCCAAACCCACACTAGGGGCAGAGAAATCACACCTCACATAAAACCCCCTTTCCAGATCTACCCCATGTCATTTATGTCCAGCACTGCTGAATGATGGGAACTCCTGTCTGGGACCCTGAGGAACAGCTCCTTGGCTTCCACAGTCTCTAGGAAAGTATATTTTGATCCCTACACACATGTCCCTCCTCCCTCTCATGTATCCTCCTCTTCAGTTGTTCCTCCTGCCAAGCTAAGACGAACAGCTGAAGTTGACTATGAAGGACCCAGTCTTGCTGACTGCCTTGTCTTGTGTTCTCTATAAGCACTTCTGCAGCTAATACCAAGTGACTGACCAAGACTCAGCCTGTGCTTCATGTTCTCACCCTTCCTTACCCAGGGTCCTCATTCCCTCCTGGCTCCTGACTGCAGGGAGAGAGGCCCCCAAGTCCCCTGCTTTCCAGGTTCTCTGTCTTTGTGCTCCATGTGTTTTTCCTCCTGCGTTCTGCTGACTGCTCTGAACCCTTCCCCTGATCTGCAGTGGTAAAGGTGTGCTGCTCCTTATGTGCTGCCCACCGCACTGCTCTGCCTTTCCCACTGCTCTGTTCGGTCTCGCTGCCTCTCTCTGCACACAGCTCCTGTTCCACACACCCAGAACTGCCCACGCGTGTGGGAACATGTCATGTTCTTCTGCTCTTCCGAACCTTTGCCTATACTGTTTCCTCCCACAGTCGAGCCCTTTCCCCTGCTTGCTTGCTTTCCAAACCCCTCCTTGCTCTTCTGCTTCTGGCTCAGCATCTCCTCCCCTGAGAAGCCTGCCTGGGTTCCCAGTAGTCAGTCAGCCCTTCCCCTGAACTTCTGTGGCATGTTAAAAACAAACAAACAACAAAACCCCCAAGACAATGCAATAGCACAAAAGACCCTATTCATTTAAAAATACAGACTCCAGGAGTTGCCAAACAATTATGTGGGGGGTTCCTTTGTATCCTTCATCCACTTCCTCCAACTGGTAACACCATGCGTAACTACAGGATAGTCTCAAATCCATGAAACTGACACTGCTACAATTCATAGACCTTCAGATATCTGATTCTATACTCGTAACATTGGATCCAGGAATTTTTATCCTGAATGTAGTTTTGCATTTCAGCTCAATCAAGATGCAGAACTGTTTTATTACTGCAGAGGCTTCTCATGTTACTGCTTAATCGTCGTGCCTCTCTCCCCTTCTCTGATCTGCCTCCTTGACATCTGTTGACCACTCATCTGTTCTTGATTTCTGCAATTTTGTTTTTCCCAGAATATTATGGAAATAGAACTGTACAGTAACTTTTTGATAATGGATCTTTTTTTTTTCACTCAGTGTAATTCTTCTGAGAGCCATCCACATTGTGATGTTTTTTTAGTAGTTCGTTACTTTTCCTTACTGAACAATATTCCATGGTATGGACATGCCACAGTTCCATGACACTTTTAGATGTGGTTTTAAATGACTGTTGGCATGTATTTTCATTCCTCGTCAACTGTTTCTTCCTCAACAGACTAAATTTTTAAAAATAATTTTATTCCTACCGTCATCAACAGTTCCCCAAAGAGCTTAAAATATTTAGCCTTCTGTTTGCCTGAAAAACTAAAGGTGGAGAATGTATTTGTAGTTCTAAAGTCTAATCACAGACTCTTGTACTTTCACACTCTACCAGTCAGTGTTTTCTGTAGGTTCCCATGGTCCCATTCTCTGGGTTCATCTCTGTCTCCTTTCTTTTGTCACAGTCTGCAAGGAAGAAGAGCCCACCCATCTGAAGCTGGGTGTGTCTATTCAGAACCTCGTGAAGGTTTACCGGGATGGCATGAAGGTGGCTGTCGATGGCTTGGCACTAAACTTTTATGAGGGCCAGATCACCTCCTTCCTGGGCCACAATGGAGCAGGAAAGACAACCACCATGTAAGAAGACGATGTGGTTCTCATAAGCTCTGCCACAGAATGCTGCTTAGAAATGCACACCTGAGGGGGCTGGAGAGATGGGTTAGCAGTTAAGAGCACTGACTGCTCTTGCAGAGGACCGGGATTCGATTTCCTGCATCCATGTGGTGGCTAACAACTATCTGTAACTGTAACTCCAGTTCCAGGGAATCCGATGCCCTCTTCTGACTTCTATGGGCGTTGCATGACCGAGGTGCACTTACACATGCAGGCAATACACTTATACACATAAAATTAAAATAATAAATAAAATATTCTTTATTTTATTTAGACCGGAGGAGACTGAATTGGCCACTTGGGTCAGGGTAGATCACAAGAAGAGCATAAACACGGTATCTAATCCTGAGCATGCCCTAGCTTTTGCCAGAAAGTTTTGCTCTTGTCTAAAATAGGCAGGGACCTTTTGATGACCCTTTCCAACAGGTGTTCAAAATTCTACAGCTTTCCTGGAGTCTGAGACCCTGACAACCCCAAAACAGTCTGCTTTGTACTGGTTCGGTCAGAATTGTGAAACAAGAGACTAGAAGGAAGGTCAGACAAGGTGGAGGGAGATGGACACTCCCAGCCTGTCTATGCTCAGAGAGGGGGCCTGGGTAGCTCTCTCCCTGCCTTCCCAGGACCTGTGAGGACCTTGCACAGAAGGGAGAAGGGGCCACAGAACACCACAGTTAGCAACACCACAGCTAGCCCACAGCTCTCTGTGTGGCCCCTCAGCCATTCTGAAGGGTAGATGTTTGGAGATGGCATTCTTTCCTTGTTTTTCTTGTTTTTAAGCACTATGAATTATGAACATGACTAAACATTTTTAAGACACTCAAAAATCCTACCATGTAACCCAAACATTTCTATCTTTCAATAATACGTTCTTTTCTATATATGTTACGTATACAAAACATGTTTTAAAGTGCACATTCCATTCAAAATAGAAGTTTTTTTTTCCTCAAATGCTTTTACTAAAACGTCTTCCATTTCTAGCACACAGGCCCATTCCAACCTATCACTAAAGCAAATGGCTTCTTGCTTTGTGAGTATCTATTAGAGTCCCTTAGACAGGAAGAAATGCAGGTAGCAGGGGACATGGTCTGCTCTCCCCGCCCTGGCTCAGTAGCATCTAGTGCTGAGAATGGGACTGCCTGATTCCTGAACCTGGTACTCTTACCCTCAGGTCAATACTGACAGGGTTGTTCCCTCCAACTTCGGGCACTGCCTACATCCTGGGAAAGGACATTCGCTCCGAGATGAGCTCCATCCGGCAGAACCTGGGAGTCTGTCCCCAGCATAATGTGCTGTTTGACATGTGAGTACCAGCAGCAGACAGAGAGGAGCAGTGCCCTTTGGGGACTTGAGAGTCCTGGCATTCTGGGCCCAGTGGTACTTGGGCTTTTTTGGGGGGGAGTGGCATGTCTTACCTCTCAACACATCAATGAAGACCAAATTGTCTTTTGATTTGAGGAGAAAAAGGGAGGTGAATTTATATCATCAGCCCAGTTAGCCGCCAGGATATGGAAAGCCCCACTCTCCATCACTGTCCTGGCAGGTTTTTGAGGTTATTTTTCCAGCCACTTCCCTGCTATATTCCTCTCCTAGGCCTGGTGCTAGGGCCTCAAGGCACTTGATACAATCGTCCTGTGTTCCATGTTCAAGGCATTTGCTCCCACTCAGGTTGTCCCGCCAGCAAGTATGGTCCTAAAGAACCCTTGTGATGGAACAGAGAACTGAACTCTGGGACTCCGGCAAAGCCTTTCCCCCTGTGTCCTCTTATCTAAAGTTAGTAGCTTGGGCTTCTGGGTGCCCCAGAGGCCTTCCTTCCCTTAGACTCAGAGCTGGGGACCCTTGGACATCCAGGGGGCTCACTCCAAGTGAATGCTGAGCCAGCTTGGTTGCTGGCACAGTGAAATGAGCCCTTTGAGGATTTGGAATTTAAAGTCATGACTGTCTCATGGCTGGTGGCCAGGTCTGCTGTAAGTAGGTTGAAAATGATCTGTTTATTTTTGCTTTGCTGTCCCAGTGTCTCCTGTTGTGGCTTCCCATTGTTCTGCCTTGAAATCTTCCTTCTATTGTTTTTTTCAAATTGATAAAGTTTTTTTTTAAAGGCAGGCATGGGGTCAGAGATAATAAAAATGTGTGCAGAAGAACACTGTATGCTAGTGCATCCTGCAGGACCTAGAGGTGACCTCCCGTGTTTCCCCCAGGCTGACTGTTGAGGAGCACATCTGGTTCTACGCTCGCCTAAAGGGGCTCTCAGAGAAGCACGTAAAAGCAGAGATGGAGCAGATGGCTCTGGATGTTGGCTTACCCCCCAGCAAGCTGAAAAGCAAAACAAGTCAGCTGTCAGGTGAGCCCTGGGCACTTTCCCCATTTAACTTCTCCTCTTGAGCCAGCATGACACTCCAGGGTCCCAGGCTGGGTGCCTGGGTAACAGAAACTAGTCCCCGGGTCTGTCTCCATGTCAGTACCCCCATTCTCTCTCACCGTCTCTACCTCTGTTCACCATCCAGGGCTGCTCCTGGAGCCTGTGTCTTGCTCTGTCTTGTAGGTGGGATGCAGAGAAAGCTGTCTGTGGCCTTGGCCTTTGTGGGTGGATCCAAGGTTGTCATTCTGGACGAGCCCACAGCTGGCGTAGACCCTTACTCTCGCAGGGGAATATGGGAACTGCTGTTGAAATATAGGCAAGGTAAGTGCTGTAACTTAACTCTGAGTCATACACTGCACTAGAGAAAGGCTCTTGAAAGTTATGGCTGTTCTTACTAGGACATCAGAATTGCTTTTCAAGGAAATGTGGAGCATTTATACTTAAAGCTTGGTGCTTATCCGTGGTATGGAGAAGGGGGGGCCTGGTTTGCAAGATAGCTAAAGCTTCTGCTTCAGTATTTAAGGGCCTGCCAGAAGAACAGAAATGACACAGGTCTACACACGTGTTGTGTTTGTGCTATGCTGTAGACTGCAGATTCTTGAGCACAGAGGCTGTGTCCTTGTTCATTTTGTTCCTAACTTGTGAGATATCTGTAAACCTCTTAGAATGCTTCATGGAGCAGGTTTCCAAATAAACACCGCCCTCCTTTCTGTGACGAGTCCATCTTAAGCTTGGTCATCCTGGGGTCATGGCCACACAGGGTTGAAGACATCTCCCAGGTCTTTCTCACAAGCTTGCCCCTGCTAAGATCTCTGTAGCCCCAGTGCTGTGATCAGTGAGAATGGACAGACCTCACTGTCCCACATCCTTGTGCTTGTGCCCGGCAGGCCGCACCATTATTCTTTCTACACACCACATGGATGAAGCAGACATCTTGGGGGATAGGATTGCCATCATTTCACATGGGAAGCTATGTTGCGTGGGTTCTTCCCTGTTTCTGAAAAACCAGCTGGGAACAGGTTACTACCTAACCCTAGTCAAGAAAGATGTGGAATCCTCCCTCAGTTCCTGCAGAAATAGCAGCAGCACTGTGTCGTGTCTGAAAAAGGTAAGCATCAGTCTCAGAGGTGGACTGGGCATGGGGACTGGACAGCCAGGACTTGTTGGCTTGGATGACTTGTGTGTCTGGGCCCCATGTTGTGGCCACCATCTCCCTGCTCTGTGGTCCTGCTGGAGTGTATTTTAACTCCTGTGTGGGAATCCCAGGAGACCTCTGTTCTCACTGTGCAAGCTCTGTTACATCCTACTTTATTTCCCCCCTTGGAAGTGCAGTGAGTGATAGAGACGGTCCTTTGAGGACTTTATTAAAGAAAGAGAGAGTTTCCAAGAGGTAAGAAGAGCCTTGGCTACAAATACCATCCTGCTTATTACCTTTAAATCTCATTGACCTGAAACTACAAGATATCAAATATTTACTACACACTGATTTCATTCCATTTTAACATTCTGGCTATCCAAGAAAATAATGGTAATAGTTCATTTTTGTTGCATTTACATTTTTTTTATATTTGCCGTGTCAAAGTGCAGAGCAACTATGGAAAGGCCATATCATGATTATCCTGGATGAGGGAAGTGGGGTTTGTAGGAATTTGGTAGCTTATTGAAGGTCACCCAACATATAAATAACAAGTGGGTCTAGAACTGGAGATTTATTTGTGTGGCAAAACCAGCACCACCTAATTTATCCTCCCCTCCCCTCCCCTCAACTTGAACTCCTCTCTACACCTGTACCAACTAGAGTCATCTTGCTCCAGTGTGTTCTGGGGTCTAGAAACATCAGGCTTACTTGGGAACTTGTTAAGGATTGTAGTAACTCTGGCCACTTCAGATCTACTGAATCCCTACCTGCATTTTAATAAGGTCCCTGAGTGTTTGCATGAACATTAAAGTGCAGGAAGCACTAAGCTAGACAAGTAGATAAATCTTGCCCTGGGACTGGTAGGAAAGGCCTGATTGCAGCATTGATTGGAGGCCAGTTGCTCTGCTTCCCACCTTCTTTCACCCGAGGCAGTGAGGTTGTCCACACAAGACACACATGCCTCTAGAACCTTGTGGCTGCTGGTTGCATGCATCCCAGAAGCTTCCTGCTCTGGTTTTATACAATAGAGCTTCTTGGAAGCTCTCCTTGGCGAAGGTGGTGGTGTCTCTACTGGCTCAGCCGCTGACCCATTCTCACCTCCTTCTTTGCCATCAGGAGGACAGTGTTTCTCAGAGCAGTTCTGATGCTGGCCTGGGCAGCGACCATGAAAGTGACACGCTGACCATCGGTAAGGACTCTGGGGTTTCTTATTCAGGTGGTGCCTGAGCTTCCCCCAGCTGGGCAGAGTGGAGGCGGAGGAGGAGAGGTGCAGAGGCTGGTGGCGCTGACTCAAGGTTTGCTGCTGGGCTGGGCTGGACTGGGTGGCTGTGGGAGTGGATGCAGCTTGGTGGTGCCTTGGCCTAACACTTGCTGGGGAGCATGGGGCTTGGTCTGGGGCCTGGCAGGGCAGGATCCCAGAGAACAGAGATGGGGGCGGGGTCTGGGAATTCCTTGTGGTGGTAGATTTGGCTGGATGCTAAATGAGATGTGGAGGGCCAAGCCAGCAGGAAGGGAGTTGAACTTGGGATATAAGAAAGATGAGCGCCCAAGAGATAAGGAATAGCCTCCAGGTTTTCCTCAGGCAGTGACTGTGAGAGACCAGTATTACCAATGACAGATAGAATAGAAATCCTGATAGTGGATTTAACAGTATTAACAGCTGATTTTTCCACAGAAGATTTCTGCTCCCACATTCTGTTTGGTTGGCCCTCCTGACGTCAATAAAGGATAGCCTCCCTTGACAGTTTTAGGAAGATTGAAGAATCTTTTATGGTTTCTGAACTCATGTTTTCCATCAAAGAATCCTAGTATATATACAAAAGCCACTAGGTTTTCAACTTTAGCAAGTCATCTATCCATCAGGCATCTAGAGCCTGTAAAGTGTGCTTAGCTCTGGTGATATCAAGGTGAATCAGAGACTGTCCTTTCTTCCCTTGAGTTCTCAGGCTGGAGATGAATAGGTGGACAGGCTAAAGCCTCTTAGGATGGTGTGGTGTGTAAGCAGTGCTTCTGAGGTGTAGGCAAAGGGAGAAGGCAGGAACTGCTGGTCCTTCCTGTGGAGCCTCTGAGCTGACTGAGCCATCTCTGCACTCTGGTCCCTGCAGATGTTTCTGCTATCTCCAACCTCATCAGGAAGCATGTCTCTGAAGCCCGGCTGGTGGAAGACATTGGACATGAACTGACCTATGTGCTCCCCTATGAAGCTGCTAAGGAGGGAGCCTTTGTGGAACTCTTCCATGAGATTGACGACCGGTTGTCAGACCTGGGCATCTCCAGTTATGGCATCTCAGAGACCACCCTAGAAGAGGTAAACTCAGTGGTTGACTGTTGGATTAGTTAATCCCAACAGGATTACTAGGGAGTTGGTCACCATGATTTTAGGTCATTGACATCTGGGTAATGTTGTCCCTGGTGAACCATTTAGGATCATAGTGGGACACAGCAGTATGGAAGTATTGAAATTGCTCCCAGTGGGAGTGTTGATGTGGTCAGGTGTCATCTCTCATATGTAGGAAATGACCAATATTTCTAGGCATTCTGCTGGATGCCGGTGCTGAGCTTGATGCTTTGGTATTGTTTTGTTTTAACTATTAAAGTCTTATATAATGCGCATAATAGGATGAGACTTAATAGTGAGGGAAGTTGCTCTGTGAGCAATAATCAAGGGTTTGGGACATCAAAGTCCATGTTCCCTTTACCAGGTAGCAGTGCCTTCCTTCAGAGACATAACAGACCTTCAGGGCTGGAAGGGGTGTAAACACTGTCTGGTCTGCTGGTTCCCAGGGTAGATTGTGCAGTCGAGTCGTTTGAGGCTGTTGCTGGCAATAAAAATTCCAAGGCTCATCTCTTATGCCTTTGAATCAGGTCTCTGGAGGCAAGACTTTGTACTTTGTTGCCTGCTTCCTGCAGAGTGATCTGTAGACAGGCTTGGCAGTCAGTGATCTTGTTCAGATTCCTCCCTGCCATATATTTATTTCTAGTGACAAGGAAGCCATTTCCTCTTGACCATTATGTCTTGGATAATTCATCACGGTGTTGTCCTGCTTAAAGATCTGGGGCCACAGACCTGATAAAAGCGTCTTGCCTCATTCTCTGTAGGTTCAGAACAAATTTCTTCTGCTGCAGTGTTCACAGTGTCATTGCTTTGTTTTGGAAAGGGTTGTCTGGACTGAGAGCCATCGCCTCTGAGGCAAAACAGCTGACACAAATGACTTCTCTTTCAAGTGTTATTAATTAATGTGGCCTCCACCTCCTTTGTCTTAACAGACTCCATAACGTTACCAGGGGAGTGATGACTACTATCAAAATGTTGGTGTTTATATTGTTTTTGCTCTAACTTTTCAGATTTTCCTCAAAGTGGCTGAAGACAGTGGTGTAGATGCTGAGACCTCAGGTAAGCCCTCTGGAGGGGCTGCACACTGTTTGGGTATGCCTTCTGCAGTGTCTTAGCTCACTCCTGTTGAACATTCCTCTTTGCATTATTCTAATGCAGTCTTAGTGTATGGGTTTGTTTGTAAGTGAAGAAGGTTTGTTGTGTTACAAATAACTGAAATGTAGGATTCTTTCCTTTTGCCTTCAGATGGTACCTTGCCAGCGAGGCGAAACAGACGGGCCTTTGGGGACAAACAGAGCTGTCTTCGTCCATTCACTGAAGATGATGCTATTGATCCGAATGACTCTGACATAGACCCAGGTACACTTGGTCAAGATCTTTGTTCTATTGTTTGAACATGAATTGGTCTTTTATGTTTTTCTTAGCTATTTCCCTTTGATTACTTTTGGCTAAGATCACAGATCTCAACAGTATCTAAAGAAAGGTGAGAAAAATGAGAAAGTCACTTTTCCAGTCTGGTATGTCTGGTCAAACCTGAAGGAGCCTGTCCTTCTCACTTCATTTAATGGAGCACTGTCTCTTCAATAAGCGTGAGAAGATGGCTCCTCCATGCTCTGCAGCCATTTATTTGTGGTCTTTCTGTAGGGTTTCTGTTTCTTTCATACTTTAAGCATTTTAAACCATTGTATAAATACTGATTGACTTTGAAACAATCAGAGAGGAAATTGTATCCTTAGGCATAGATATTTTGCATAACTGTCATCTGTTTGAGATGGAGAGAGGAGGTATTAAATTAAACAAATTTGATAGAATAGTAAAACACCTCAGGAGTCAGTAGTTTCAGACAGAGATTTTCAAATTAATTTTTCAGAACAGAAAAATTTCTGACTCGCCCAATCCATAAGTTACACAGGTCTGTGACTTTTTTGTTCTTACTTCATGTTTCATTGTCAGAACGTAGATATTTGAAATCTGTCCACTGCTTATCAAGAATGTAAAAGACAGAAGACTCCCTGTCATTATGTGTCAGCTTGCCTTTTTGACCTGCTTTGTGGGATATAAGAACTGAATGATGACTTGTTCTGCCTGAACAACTTGCTTGATTCCCAGTTATTTGTGAGCATGTCTCTCTGGCTCAAGGCAGCTTCATTTTCTCATTAGATGAGGACCAAAAGGTATAAACATTGAGGCATGTGACTTTTGAGTCATAACTTTTTCTTAGATCTGACTTTTTCATGAAGACCCTTTACTTTTGTGATATACTTCAGGCTTCAAACTCAGACTTCCAAGATGGTTGCTGAGGATTCCAGAGAAAGAATAGGGCATGTCAGAAATAGCTAAGATAGTGGATGACCCTCTGTGTTGGCTTCTTACAGAATCCAGGGAGACAGATCTGTTAAGTGGGATGGATGGCAAAGGCTCCTACCAGCTGAAGGGCTGGAAACTCACACAACAACAGTTTGTAGCCCTTTTGTGGAAGAGGCTGCTGATTGCCAGACGGAGTAGGAAAGGATTCTTTGCTCAGGTGAGATGTGCTTGTATCTGGCTTCATGGTTGGGCTACAGGTTCTTGGACGAGTAAAGGCAAGATAGCATCATGGCCGACATGTAGATGCCAGGACCAGATTAACTGCATTTCCATCCCATTTCTGATTTTTGCCATTTGTTTACCTGATGGTCAGTGATTTCCTGGACTTCAGTTTTCTTTTCTGAAAAACAGAGATGTAAGACATGAGACATGGTTGTTAGGAGGGTAAAAATGAGTGTATTTAGAATGGAGTCTGACATTAGGTGAGAGAGAAGGGGTAGAGGGAGAAAAAGAGAGAGAAAGGGGGAAACTAGGAGGAAGGGAGGGAGGAGAGAGACTTATTTTAGAGGAGGGCATAGCAGTGTCAAAATTTAGAAAACTGGTTGTGCAGATCTAACTCACGAGAGATGCCATGTTGAGATGCACTTCACATGAGAACTTATTAGAAAATAGTATTTTTTTTCTCTAAGTTGATGTTTAACTCAAATCAGCAGTGAAGATACCTTGAGACCCGAATATAGGTGCACATAGAAAAGACCCACTGCACAAAGGTCTGCATGTGAGCTTTCATGCTAACTTGCTTAGTTAGAGCCCTTAAAAATATTTCACTCTACAAAATGAAGAATTATAGGGAAAGTATCTGTAGAGCTCCCTTTGCGCTAACTTAGGAGCGTGAGTTTGGAGCATAAAGACCTAGATTTGAAAGCTTCTGTTAATTACCAACTGTGACAAAAGACAAGTTACTTATTCTCTCTGATCCAAGTGCCCTAGAGTTAGATGCTGATAATGATACTAACACCATAAATAACCACAAAATATGATATGAAATAACTCCCGTTACAGTGTTTTCCAGTGGCATCATTCACTCAGTGCTATTTCTATACCGAAATCCAAGGATATTAGCACCAGAGTTTTCATTTGATTTCTTAGGGCCTTGGAAATGGAAGCACATGTTAGGCAAGCACTCTACCACTGAGCTACATCTCTAGCCAGGGTCATCATTTTTATGTTTAACATTTTAAAGGGTAAATTTATCAGACATGAGTGAAAAGATCTTTTGGTTTACCTATAAAGTAAGAATAAGTTATTATTTTCAGAGAAGGAATATAGAAAGTTTGAGGAATTTCAAGAAGGATTTAGATGATTATACTTTTTTGAGGTGCTTATAGGACCTCATGGAGGCCATTTATGTAGAGCTGGTTTCTGTTCTCTGTCATCAGATGACGTATGTCACCTAGGACACCTATAGTAGAGACAACTAGGACTCGGATCTTCTGGCTCCTGGTCCAGGGTTGCTTCACTCAACCTTCCCCCGAGCTAACATGAGCTCACCCAGGGTGCTCTTTCTCAGTCCTTGGGGGATAAAAAAAGAATAGGACCTAAAACACAGAGTCCTGCTGGTATCACTCTTTACTCTGTGAAATTCCCAGCTCTGTGCCTCTGCCAGGTGACCATAGCCTCTGACTTGGTGCTTCTAGAAATGCCTTGTAGGAAAAGGCTTCATTTTCAGGCTTCACAGCCCTCAGTCCTCTGTCGCTGGTCTGGGAGGTTGGCGCGACTTGCAGAGTCTTGCTCCTTGGACTTCTGTCACTTACCTTTTTCTGCCACTTCCAATGCCTGGTTGTAGATTGTCCTGCCAGCTGTCTTCGTCTGCATTGCCCTGGTGTTCAGCCTGATCGTGCCACCCTTTGGCAAGTACCCCAGCCTGGAACTCCAGCCATGGATGTACAATGAGCAGTATACATTTGTCAGGTTTGTATTTGTCTTCTGTGCCCCAGGGCGGAGGAGGGTTCAACAGATCAGAGCGTTTGCTGTGCTGAGAGCCAAGGGGTCAGAATCCACAATTCACAGCGAGATGGATTTTATCCTGATGCTTCAGGCTACTACACAAGCTGTTACTGAAGCAAAGAACAACAGTGAATAACACTTGAAAAAGTAGGTGAAGCTCTGCTGGGCATTTCAGCCTGTATTGTTACACTGTTGTCAGGATGACCAAGTGTGTTTTAGTAAAGTAATCAACACCCACTAAAATCTATGATTAAGTCATAAAATATTTGAATTATTAGACATATGCTTTAATTTCATAATCACCACACAAGGCTCCTGTACACTATCAAAACAGACACATCAGGCTCTTGTTTTCTGCCTGGTATAAACCCTGCAATTATTTATTATCTACCCTTCAAATTTAGGATATTAACTTAGTGTTCATCTTTAGACAAGAACACTTTCTACTCCCTAGTAATTCTATGCAAAAAACAACAGGACAAAGTGATTTTTAGATCTTGTTCAGTGAGAGTTTTCTTCAGCTCCATTGCACTTGTAGGTCTATAGATGGGGGAATGTGTCAGTGACCTAAGGGGAAGATTTTAAAAAGTGAAAAACAAAAGCCAGACTGTATGTGATACTATATATAGATATATATATATACTCGCGTGGATATATATATATATATATATATATCGCGTGGATTAGTCAAACCCATAGTTTCATCTTACAGGGCTAAAGTTTGTTTGGTTCTTGCTGATGACCCCCAAAAACTTATATCTGTAGATCATGGGGTGGGTTTGTAACCTGTGCCCAGTATTTTTTGGACTTTTTAGTTGTTCTACAAATTTTGTTGGTCAACAAAATCTGACTGTCCTTTCTTAGAAAATTCATGTCTGTTGTCTGTGACAAATGTATAATCGTGAAAGTAGTCTTGAAATACTGATCCTTAAATGAGTTTCTCTATTTTGGGTTAAAATGCATATATATATATATATGCATGTGTGTATGCACATACCTTCATATACACTCTCTTTGTACATTCTTTG